GCTCATCTTGTGTTGGATCGCGGTCGTCGCCTATAGTTGGGCCGGCGGCCGACGATCCAAGGGGTCGAGTTCTGCAGAGCTCTCTGCCCCTTTTCCGACGAGCCGACGGACCCTTGCAGAATCGAGCACAATGCGGTCGGCCTGTGGGCGTACGCGCACTTGCTTGCAAGTGGAGGATGCATTAATGATCTTCGTGAAGAATGCACATGGCACGCGTGTTCAGTCTCGCTGGGCACCTCTTGGAGTTATTTGTCGCGCTGGTCCTCTGGCTGGGCTGATGCGGTGCGCGTGTGCGTCGGCTGCTTCGACGACCCCGTTCTCGATCTTCTCGTGCGCGTCAATTTTCCGTCACCTCTCATTTTCATTGTCGTCTTGATTTGTTTCTACTTCTTCCTTTTTCTGCGTTGTTTCTGGCAGCCTGCAGTGCGTCGTGTTCGAGCAGGTTTTCTAATCCACGCTCGACGTCTATGCGGGGGTGCACGGCTTCTCTGCTGCGTCCTTGGTCGGCGGGCGGGCGCGCAGAGCGCGGCCGTGCGCCGCGCCGCGTTGCCGCGCGACGGGGTTAGTGCCCGTGTGGGCGCGCGGCTCTGCCCGGGCAGGAACGCGCGCGCGCGGGCGCTCCGGCGCCCGCGCCTGTGCGCCGCAAGCTGCGCGGGCACCCGTCCACGGGTTTATTGCCCACTTGGTCTTCTCCCCGCCGTGCCGCGCGCCCCGGGGCCCCCGCCGCTGCAGGTCTCGCTGGAGGGCGAAGTGGGCGCAGAACGGCAGAGGACGCAGAGGGCGCAGCAATCCGGGGGCGACGAGGACAGCGCAGGGCAGATGGGGAGGGGGGCAGTCATGACGAGGAGGCGGGAACGAGGGGGCTGCTGCGGATGGGGGTCAGCGCGCGGAGGCAGAGAGAGCGAGGCCGCAACGCCGTGCTATTCTCGCAGATCCGGTCAACTCTGCCTCTGATCGCCACTTCCTTTCTCGCGCTTCTCAGCCGCGGTGCCCATGTTGGCCCCTCCCGCAGAGGCGGCTGCTGGCCGGGCGCCTTCTCTGCAGCGGCCAGCGCCCGCTGGCAGCCGCGACCTCCCCTTGCAGTCGTCGAGCAAGGGGGCCGCTTCAGAAAGCCGTTGTTTTGGCGTTCGGTCGAGTGCAGCGCGCGTGCTGCTGCGCGCGGCAACTGCCGTCCGCAATTGTCAGTGCGATTTTCTTGAAGCTCTGCGCGACTGCAGTTGCGCGCGGCGGATGAGGGCGCCCCCTGGCCAACGACCGCAATTGCGTGCATCTGCGGCCCGCGTGCGCCGATGCAGGCCAGGCTGCCCGCCAGCCAAAGCCAGCGCCGACACTGCGTATTCACGGTCGCGTCTACTACGACAACATGCGCGGGGCCGACTGCTGGCAGAGTGCAGCAGGGCCGCTTTGCGCCTTCTACGACCCCACTCGCCGCGCTGCAACCGCTGCGCGGGCGGGGTAATGTCCGGCCCCCCGCCCCGCGCCCCGCGATGGCGAGGGGGAAAACGAGTTCATCGCCGTCGACGAGGCGCAGCCAATTGGGCCGTCCGGCAGGGCCGCCTCGGCGCATGCGTTTGGTAGGCCATGCCGACGCGCGGCAACTGCGATCCCCGTGGGCGCGCGAGCGCGCAACAGTGCAGTGTCAACGTCACGTTGCCCCGCGCGCTGCGCGACCCGCAGCTGCTGCCATCTTTACCTGCGCCGCAAGTGGCGCACCGCGGTGCGGCGCGCGCACCGCCGTCTTGCGACCCGCGCACCTTTGCGGTTGCAGAAAGGCCCGAGTGCGTCTGCTCTGCGTGCGCCTGCTGCCGCAGCGGGGTGTCATCGCGACGCCCCCTCTCCTCTCCTCTCCTTCCTTCCCCTCGTGCACGTTGCGAGGGGGCCGCGTCTCGGCGAGATCAGTGCCTGGGCAACCGCGCGCATCGTTAATGCGAGGATGAACGTGCTTCCACTTCTGACAAGTTCCCGGAAGGAAGGGGGACTTGTCAGATCACTGCAAGGGCCACCTCCCAGCAACAGTTCGCTCGCCCGCGCTGGCAAGCGGGCCGCGAACGAAGCGCGGGGAACGACGCCAGGCGCCGCCAGGATGACCGCGTTTCACCTTGCCCAGGAGTGACGCGCAAGTCGCGGAGCGCAGATCTCCCGGCAAGACTGGCGCAAGTCGGCGGGCAGCTCGCGTTCCCGTGCGTTGCAGTGGTTGTCGCTGGGCCAGCTTGGATCCTTTCCCGCGCGTCGGATGCTCGCCCTGCGCCAGCATGGGCTGTTCTGTGTCGCGATGGTAGGAAGGCCCAGCCGCGTCATCCGCCGCATTTCGAGCCTTGCCGACATGTCCCGCTCGAGTCTGAAGATGCAGCAAGGCAGTGCTATTTTCGTGTGCGGAATGCGGGCCGTTGCGCCTTTTTGGTCAACGGTGCAACATGAAGAACATGTTGACCAGCGGCAATTTTGGACATTTTTCGTGGCCGCAATACTTTGGCAGTTATGGTGGCTCACAATTGGGTGTCAGTACCTACGACGCAGAACCAGTTGCTCTTGTGGCGTGCAGTTCTTTTCGTGGTCAGCGGGGGCGCTGAGCTCGAGGCGATCGCGGGCGCCGCGAAGATCTTTGGGGGCGCCAGCGCCACGGCCACCGCGCAGAGCTACAGCTGCATGCAGCTTTCACGTTACATCTTGCAGATACTGACGTCCACGAGCTTGGAGACATTTGCAATTGGCTTCTGGAAGGCCCGCTTCGGTTCAGACAGCGGAGGCCATCGCCGTGGTGCAGCAGGCAGCTATCAAATATACTTATTGAGCTTCGCGCCGGCTGCGTTGCACATGCAGGCGGCGATGCGTCTTGATGTCGCTCCCGACGAGAACCCATTCGTTATGGACGTGGTCCCAATGCGGACCGGAGACTTCCGAGTCCGCCGAGGTTGGGTCTGGCGTGCCAGTGCAGGTCCATTGGTGGCGCTGCCCAGCCATGGAGGTTACCCTGCGCTGACTCCTCGCTCGTCGCTCCCGCGTCAGCCTCTGGATTGGTCATTTGCTCGCCGACATTCGTTCGGTGGAGTGGCCGCCCATCGGTGGTGGCCCGCGGGGCGCGGCGCCGCGTCGCCCCGCGTGCGCCAACACCTTGGCTGTGCTAGTCATGACAGCGCCCTTGCGCGGAAGGTGACGCGCGCGCGTCGACGCGCGCGGCAGTGCCTGTCCCAGGACACCGCCGGAGAGGTCACGCCCAGAGGCGCTCGTCATGGAACGTCCGCCACCGGGCGCGCCGCCATCAGCCCGACACCTCCATGCAGGACGACTCGGCAGGTGCGCATGCACGCAAATCTAGTTCTTGGTCAAGGACAGTTGGCCGATTTAGCTTCGCCGCGCGGCTGCCGGCGGCGCGAGCCCCGCCGCGCCTGCGACGGATCGATGGGAATTGTCGCGTGCATCTGGCGCGGCATCTCCCTCAGAGGGCGCTGTGCAGCATTTGTGCGCGTGCGTCTTGACGGCCGGCGCCGCGCGCCGATGGGCTTGAACGCGCGTGTGCCGTGTGCGCTGACTTGATGGCGCTGGGCGACTGTCGCGAAGGTGGCAGGGGCGCGCGCTCGCCGCAGACAGTTTTCGATGCGATCGCCATCGGGAAGCCGTCCCCTACCACCAGTGGCTGGTCAGCCTCCCCGTGAACTGCGAGGGCTTTCTTGTTTCGCAGTAGGCTGGTGCCACGTGGGCAATGTGGTTGCGAAGCTCTGGTGGGCGCGACTCGCCGGGCGCTCGACAGGCGCCGCGGGCGCGCGCCCGGCCGCGGTGCCTCGGCACCGCTGGTGCTGCGAGGCGCCAGCGCGTCAGCGCGCCGTCGCGGAGGTAAGTGCTGCAGTGCAGGCCGCGCCTGCATAGCGACTGGCTGGGCGTGCGTCGTGGTGGCCTGGCACGTGGGCCACGCTGTGCTGCCGACGCTTGAACAGTTGCGAGAACCCGAGGCAGGCACCTGCGACAGTGCGTTGCTGTTGGCCGCGTCCAGAGCGCGCGCCGCGTTGGTGCCGCTTGGCGTTCATCGGGCCACCGCGCGGACCAGGCAATTGCCTGGACTGGTAAGCGCTACCAACTAGAGACACACTTTCGCCAACAACTGGATGAGCTGCGTCTGCGCGCCATAGGAGCAAGGCGCGCGTGTGCTTTCCAGCGACGCAGCGGCGCAAGCGCCGCAGCGGCCAGCTACGCCCGCTAGCGCCCATTCACAAAAGAGCGCCGAAGGCTAGCTGCTACGCCAGCAGTGTGCAAAATGCAGAGTCAGGGAGCGTACCTGGCTGGCAGGCGCGACCGATGACGCGGTGTGAGCGCACGCTGGGCAGGATCTGTGCCGACCACGAGCTGTAACCTGCTCCTGCCTGCCAAGCATCATCCGCTGGTCGACGCCACATTGGGCGGGGGACCTGTCCTCGGGCTCTCCGCTGCGGGGTGCTGTAACGATCCAGCAACCCTGGCTACAGGCAGCGCATCACGCGCATGTGTTGGCCATGGACGAGCACGCGTTGCTCTCCGGGGTTCGCCGCGCCACCTTTCGGGCTGAGTCTATTGAGTCATGGGGGGGGTGCACGATGCAGCCGGCTGCTAGACGCGTATGATCAGCGCTGCGCAGCGACTGCTTCTCCGCCTCTCTTCGTTTGTTCTTCAGTGGCCAAAGCGTTACAGTACGGAGAGACACAGTGCAGTGCCGAGTAGCCCCGACCCGAATAGGACCCGGGCGCGCACGCCGCCGCCAATGTGGCTCACAGCGTGCACGCGGTATCCGCCGATTCAAGGGAATAGGGGTGGTGATCTGCTCTTATCAGTGCCGCCTTGTCTTCAAGCGCTCTCCTTTAGTATCCGCAATTCCAGTTCCCCCTTTCTCCTCCTCGTCGTCGTCCTCGTCCTCCTCCTCCTTCTCCTCCTCCTCCGCCTCCTCCTCCTCCCTCTTCCCCTCGACCTTCGGCCATCCTCCCCCTCCTCCTTCTTTCCCCCCCGCTCCCCCGTCGTCGCGTCCGTCCTCCAAGCCCGCGCCTGCTCCCACTTTCGGCGGCGCGCGAAAGGGGGGCCCAAAGGGCGAGGGGGGTTATCCTCACGAGGCACCCCTGCCCCTCTGAAGCCCTCCTGCCTTCGAAAGGCCGTTCCGAAAGGCCGTTCCGAAAGGTTTGGCCCTTCTGAGACGCTCTCTGGGCCTTGTCAGAAGGCCGCCGCCCCCGCGCCGCTTCCCTCGCGCGGCCATCACCCCCTTGCCCCGCGCAGTGTCCTAGTGTTTACCTCCGAGACCAGGCTGGCGAAAAAGTCGGTTGACAAAAGTCGCCCAAAGAGACCGCTCGGAACGGGGCCCACAGCACAAGATAGCTTTTGGTTTGCGGAATCGTTCTGTCAACTTTTGGCTTCCCTCCTGCCAGCAAGCGCGCAGGGGCGAGGACGAGAGGGGAAAGGAAATATCATGTATCATGCCGACGGAGTGCGCCACGCCATTCCGCGGAGCCAACGCAGGTGGCACGAGACAAGCCGGGAATGAGCAAATTCCACAATGGGATACCGAATGAATTTGATGGGTGTGCCGAGGTTTCGCCACGTTGCCGCCCGTGGGCGCCTCATGGGTGTGCCGAGGTTTCGCCACGTTGCCGCCCGTGGGCGCCTCGTGGGTGTGCTGAGGTTTCTCTATGTTTCTGCCTGTTGGCGCCCCAGATGGGTGTGCTGAGGTTCCCGCTTGTGGATTCCTCATGGGTGTGCCGAAGTTTTGTTGCGTTGCTGCCCGCGTTGTGCCGAGGTTTCGCCATGTTGCTGCCCATGGGCATTTCGAGGGCGCCACGGCCGCATAGCTTGCGCCAGATAGCTTGCACCAAATAGCTTGCACGTCAGGCATTTGTCACACACTAGCTTTCATTGCGCCGCGTAGCTTGCACCATCAAGCTATGACACCACGTAGCTTGCACTGCATATTCTGCACCGCATAGTTATAGTAATTATATAGTTTTCCAGTGCAGGTGCACTAGTGTAGAGTAGAATTTATGCATAGTAATATATGTACTCGTATATCTGTATACCGGTGTGTGTGTGTGTGTGTGAGAGAGAGTATGTGTGTGTTTTTCAAGTGCACCGTACAAATTACGCCACATATGCTGCACAATGTACCTTACACATCCACACTGCGCTGACTCACTCTTTGGGGTCCACGCTGTCAAACGCCAGTTGCTAACCTCAGCAATCTTCCATTCCAGCCTCCGACGGCGAACCGCAACGCATGTGGGGATTTGCTGACTCGGTTTGTGTATATTGGGTGCCCCGAACAGGCTCACACTGTCCTCGTTCCGAATATGCGTATATGGCTACATCAGAGCGTGATCGATACTGACATGCGTGACAGGCGCATGGGGAGTCAACGTGAGTTACTCCCTCTTTCGTAGAATTTTTGGGCGCGGTGGGAGCTCTCACGCGCATGAATCGTCTTTCTAGACCTGGTATCGTTAACAAGGCGTGGGCAACTTATCATGCATTTGTCAGATTGAGCTGTGGCTGTTTCTGGAGGGGGGATGGCCACTGGCATCGGGGCCCTGAGCACCAACGCTGCGTGAGAAGACACATGAGCGAGGCAAAAACACGGGGCCGTCTGTGCTGACATTGGGGCGCGTAAGCTGCCCGCGTAAGGTCGCGCGCAAGCGCCGCAAGCCGCCGCGTATGGTCGCTACGTCATCTCGCGTAAGGCCTGTACAGTTTAGTCGCTCACATGCTTAGCCAACACTGAAACGCGCGTGCGCGTCATGGGCCCGGCACGGATTCGGGCACGGCGCGGCACGCGCGCGGCACGGCACGGCCCAGCATGCGCGCGGCAGCTTGTGTGCACCCTGGACGCCGAGCGCGGCACGGCAACGGCACGGCGTGCGGGCGGCACAGTGCACGGCGCGGCACGCGGGGGACACGGAACGGCATGCGAGCGGCACGTCACGGCACGGCATGCGGGCAGTGCGTGCCACAGCGCGGCTTTTTTTGCCGTCATTGTTTCAGTGCGTTACGAGCGCGGCGCGGCACGTCGCGCGGGCACGCCACGGCTCCACGTGGGCGGCACGTTTTCTGGGCATGTTGAAGACCGAGCACGGCACGGCACGGTACGCGGACGTTGTTGATGTCGTTGTTGTTGTGATTGTTGTGATGTTGTTGTTGTTGTTGTTGTTGTTGTTGTTGTTGTTGTTGTTGTTGTTGTTGTTGTTGTTGTTGTTGTTGTTGTTGTTGTTGTTGTTGAACACTATTACTTCTAAAGAATTATTATTGTTGGACCCCCTGGTGCACGCCCCCCGCCCAAAACCTAGGCCGCAGCTACATTTTCATCATTTTTCTGCGAAAGCTTCAGAAAAGTGGATTACCCCCGGATCCGGTTTTTTGTTGACGCTCGTTTTCCCTTGCAAAAAACAATAGAAAATGAAAATTCTTGTTCTTAGTTGATCAAATTTCAAGAATCCCTTGCAAAAAATAAGGTAAAGTGGACATTCGCGCTCGCAAGACGAAATCCTTCCAAAACCTTAGGTTTCGTAGCGATTTTAACATAAAAACATCAAAAACCCAATGGTTTTTTAAGAAAAAATTGTCAAAATGTCCTTCCGCGCGCTCTTGCGGATTCATAGGAAACACACCACTTTTTAAACATTTCTGTCAAAAGGGTCTTTGCGTGCTACTTCTTCAGGTGCTTTGAACTTCTCCAACAACGGTTGCGCGCCTGCGAGGGCCACCATCCCTTGCAAAAAATGAGACGAAGTGCACATGCGCGCGGCCGCCGCGCGCGCATGTCGAAATCCTGCCAAACACAATGGGTTTTCAATAATTTCAAGATGCGATGTTCAGAAAACATATGAAAACGCACTACTTTCTCATCCGAAAAATCTCGAAATCCATTCGCGGTCTCTTGATGAATCTTTAAAACCCAAGATGGCCCCAACAGGCGCGCAAGATGGCCCCAAGAGGCGTCCATGAGGCCCAAAGAGGCGCCCAAGATGGTCCCAAGAGGCTTCAAGAGGACTCCAAGAGGCCCCCAAGAGGTTCCAGAGAGGCTCCAAGGTGGCTCCAAGAGACCCCCAAGATGGCCCCAGGAGGCGTTCTAGAGGCCCCAAGAGTCCGCCGTGAGGGTCCAATAAGCCCCCAAGAGGCCCCAAGATGGTTCCAAGGAGCCCCCCAAAGGCTCTCAAGTGGACCCCAAACCGCGCCAGGAGGCTTCCCCCCTTCCCCAAGAGGACCCCAAGCGGCCCCAGGAAGGCCCCCGACTGCTGACGCACATATCCGTAGCCATCTCGGATCAAGGTATCGCCTGTGTTCTTGGATCATGGCTTTGACGGCGAAAGACCTTCACGAGCAGTATGGCCCTGAGCTGTCGCGGCCTCCCTTGGCCGACTGCGAGAGTGCGTATTATTTGCATCAGGCGCTCCGGGCAAAGGGTATCAATGCTAGTCACCAGGCGTGCAAGACTTGGTGGGCCAAGTATCGGGTTGTGACTGGCACGGTCAGTATTTCTAGCGCCAAGGAGCTGGAGGAGCAGCACGGCTCTGCCATCCGCCACCTGGGCATTGAGTATAATACCGCTTTCAAATTATGCCGGGCGCTCCGACAGTTGGATCCACCACTGTATGTGCCAGATAGGGTCGCAACGGCGTGGCTACTGCAGTATTCATCCAAAGACACGCTTGTCCAAGTGCAGAACGCTGGCCACTTGGAGACCTGGTATGGAGAACGTATTCGCAAAGACATGCCCGAGGGGACCACTGACGGGGCCGTCTTGAAGCAGTGGCTCCTGGGACATTTATCTGTATCTGCTAACGCCAGGGTATGCCAGAAGTGGCTCAGCACGGAGTGGGGCGCCAAGGGGGCATTGAACACTGCCCAAGCTGTGGAGGAATGTATGGGCGAGCGTCTTCGACTCAATCAGTATCGGGAGAGCTTCGCCGACGAGGCCGCTGCGGAGGTCCTCTCGCAGCTTCTCTCGGAGAGCGATCCTCCCGTCGCTGTCAGCGGTATGGTTTTGAGGCAATGGTACGTGAAGTATCACCCTGACTCTGGACCTTTGCAGTATGACACGGCCGAAAAGCTCAACGCGGCACTTGGTGACCACATGCGCGCTGTATATCCAGGGCTGAAGTACCGCGCGTTGCATACCGTGTTGCGTATGCGACGGAAAGCTGTCTTGGTGTCCCGCTCAGTGTTGAGAAAGTGGTGCGATGTGTATGCGTCGGTGGGCGCTTCAGTGCAGGCGGCGGCTTCATCCGCCCAGGCCGTCACCAAGCGTGTATTGAAGCGCCAGGCGGCACAGGTCGCAGGCGGGGTATTGAAACGGCCAGCCGCCGCCGGAGCTGCCCGCGTGGCCAAACGGCCTGCCGCGGTCGACTGGGAGGAGCCCGTATTCACCTCCACATTGCCAGCCTTCCGTATGACTTTCCAGATGGCCGGTCGGCTTGACCCCTTGACGGGCGAGTATTTCCCGTCGGATGATGAAGTGAGCTCGAGTATGGATCGCTGGCATACGCCACCCGGCCACGAGGCGTATGCACGCCGCTGGTTGAAGCAGTGTGGCTCGGAAAGGTGGTTCGCGTGCGGTATCTTCTTCCCTCTTCTATGGGAGGGTGTTACGGGCGTGTGCCTCGCCGTATCGAGCGGTATGTCCACGGGGCAGTCGAAGATCAACAACGACCCGGAGTACCAGCACAGTATGGGGGGCATCGCCGAGCCCGAATGGCTGTACTTCGACGCGTACTTTTACGCGAACGCGGTATTCGGGAACTTCTCGGTATTCCAGGATGAGAGGCTTGGGAAGCCCATTGGCTACCTTGTGCACGTATTCGACACGCTGTGCACCGCAGCAGGTATCGTCGCCTGGAAAGCCAACCTCTTCGTCCACCCGGGCCAGTGGGTGTATCGCAGTATGCGGTATTTGCTCGGTCAGCTCGCTATTCCCATTCATGCGGAGATCGTATCCGGCCTCTCCTACAGGGCCCTGGCCACCTTGGACGTATTCATTGCGTACCACGCGGCCTTCATGGGTACGGACCCGCAGAAAATGGCCCTTTGGAACGTATCCCCTGAGGTCGGCACAGAGATCACGTATCCGCGTCAAGACCAGTGGTGGTGGTTGCCCGTATGGCGGTCGTATGGTCAGAGCGACGAGCTTCCGAACATGCTCGATTACCAGGCCTTGCCACCGCAGGTCCACAACGTGCTCGCGGTAGCACTGCCGTATGCAAGCACCGGCCTTCCCGCCAGCAGGCGTATCGGCAATCTCATTGGGCATCTGGGACCGCACGGGTATCAGCCAGGCCCGCACGTGTATCAGCCAGGCAGCCGGGCACCCACGCGCCCGCTCCGCG